AATGTTGCAAAAAGTATGAATGTTAATAATTAATGAATGATATGCCTACTATAGGTCCACAAATTTTTTTCATAATTTTTAAATATAATAAACAATATGAATTGAAAGTGTCTCATTGACTGACTTAAGACTGACAGGATTTTATAATGTCTGGCATCCAGTGAAAAATTGCCAGGCATACAAAGCAGCAGGAAAATATGATCCATAATGAAGAGAAAAAACAACCAATAGAAACAGGACCAGAAATGACACAAGTGACACAATTAGTAGACAAGGATGGTAAAAGTTGTAACTATTTTCCATATTTTCAACAGAGTGAAAGCACAATAAGCGTTATTACAGCCCTAATCATTTTTACATTTTTAAACAGATCACCATTTTTTAATTGTGTAATTCAGTGGCATTAATTACATTCAAAACATTGAACAACTGTCATGACTATCTATTTCTAAAACATTATCATCATCCCCAAAAAGAAACTCTGTCAAGCAATAGCTTTTCTCCCTCCCACTCTCCATCCCCCAAATTCCTGGTAAGTTCTATTCTACTTTACGTCTCTATGAATTTGCGTATTCTAGATACCTCATATATGTGGAATCACACAATATTTGTCCTTCTTTGTCTTGCTTTTCTTTAGCATGATATTTTTAAAGTTCATCCATACTGTAGTATATATTACAATGCCAATCCTTTTTATGGCTGAGTATATTCCATTGTGTGCATAGCCAAGCTGTCACGTTTCGTTTATCAATTCATTTGTTGAGAAACACATGGTTTGTTTCTACCTTTTGGCTACCATAAATAATGCTGCAGTGAACACTGGCTTACAAGTCTCTGTTTAAGTTCATGTTTTCCATTCTTTGGGGTATTAAAAGTGAAATTGCTGGGTCATATGGTAATTATATGTTTCAGCTTTTTGAGGAACTGCCAAGTTGTTTTCTACAGTGGCTGCATCATTTTACATTCCCACCAGTAATGTGTGAGTGTTCCAACCTCTCCACATCCTTGCCAACACTTATTTTTCATTCTCTTTTAAAAAGTGTAACCATCCTACTAGGTATAAAATGATAATCTCGTTATAGTTTTAATTTGCATTTCTCTAATAACTAATGATTTTCAGCATTTTTCAAGTACCTCTTCTTTGTACTTCTTTGTAGAAATATTTCTCAAATTCTTTGCACATTTTTGCATTAGGTTGACTATTATTGAGTTGTAGGAGTTCTTTATATATTCTGTATAACAAATACCAGTTATATGATTTGCAAATCTTTTCCCCATTTTGTAGGCTGTCTTTTTACTTTCTTGATAATGTTCTTTGGTGTGCAGAAATTTTTAATTTTGATGAAGTCCAATTTATTTTCTCTTTCATTGTACATGCTTTTGGTGTCATATCTAATAAGCCACTGCCAAACTGAAGGCCATGAAGATTTACCCGTATATTTTCTTCTAAGAGTTTTATGGTGTTCACATTTAAATTTTTGTCATTGATTCATTTGGAGTTTATTTTTGTACATAGTACGATGTAGGGGTCAAACTTCATTCTTTTGTACATAGAAATCCAGTTGTCTCAACGCCATCTGTTGAAGAGAAAATTCTTTCCCCATTGAAGTGTCTTGGCACTCTTGTTAAAAATCAGTTGGGCATATAAGTATGGGCTTCCTTCTGGGCTCTCCATTCTACTCCATTGGTCTGTATGTCTAATATTAGGCCAGTACCAAACTGTTTTGATTAACTGTAGTTTTGCAGTGAGTTTTGAGGTTGGTAAGTGTAAGTCCTCTAACTTTGTTCTTTTTCCAGACTGTGTTGGTTATTAAGGCCTCAAGCCATTTCATATGTATTTGAGAATCTGCTTTTCCATTTTTGCAAAAAAGGTTGTTGGAATTATGATAGACATTGCACTGAATCTATAAATAGCTTAGGGTAGTACTGACATCTTAATAATATTTAGTCTTTCTATTCATGAATATGGAATGTCTTTTGTCAATTTATTTTTATCTAACAGAAAGTGAGTTACAGGAAACAAGCCAAAAGACCCAATGGCAGCTCTAGTCCCCTAAACTAACATGGCTTTCATTTCTCTACACTACGAAGAAAATATGACTGACTAACCCTGGAATAATTTCCAGGGTCAATGAGATCTTACATTAAAAGTGTAACAAAAATCTCACAAAAACAGCTATTTAAGCATTAACAACTTAGATAAGAAAAGTTGTCATGGTTTTATGATTGTATAGCTCTATCACAAAATTAATCAAACACATAGACACACAATAAAACATATTCTTACACACAGAAACACACACACAATAAAAGACTGTTAGTACTCTTTATTTATATAATTTGATATTATACCACAGAAGAAGGGGAGGTAATTATCTATAACTAATATATTAAAATAACATAAAAATAATTATACTTTATTCCATTTAATTCCTATAAGAATTCAGAATCTCATACAACATCTCATCATAAACCTCACAAACTTTCATGAGAGGTGCAGGAAGGCAGTTGTATCTCAGAGTTGTATACCTTGGCTGATGGAGAGATGGATGTGGTATTATCATAGAGAACTGCTCAGTGTGCTACAGTAGTCTCCAACCATTTATGTTAGTAGACATCTCTCAGTAAAAAAAGTTTTGAATATACACTCCTTAGATCCATGTATTTAAAAATTATAGACAACTACTATTCCCCACTCATTAAATTGAATACTAGTAAAGTTTAATTTCTTTTTCTAAGAAAAAAAAATGTACTAATATTTTCTCTCTGGAACTCAATGAATCATCTTGCACTTTATAATGAACAGCACACTGCTTTAGAGTATGGTGTTTTTTTTTTTTTTAAAAAAGGAGAAAATAAAGGATTTTGCTCCTCATTACATATCCTTTATTTATTCTTAATACTCAGACACTCTGAAGTATTCTCTCTTTTTTTCATGATACTACTCTCTCACTCTGTTAATGCTAGATCATCCTGGCCAACATGGAGCAACCCTGTCTCTACTAAAAATAGAAAAATTAAGCCAGGCGTGGTGGCGCACAGCTCTAATTCCAGCACTTTGGGAGGCTGGGGTGGCAGATCATGAAGTCAGGAGTTCAAAACCAGCCTGGCCAATATGGTGAAACCCTGTCTCTATTAAAAATACAAAAATTAGCTGGGTGGGGTGGCATGTGCCTGTAATCCAGGCTACTCAGGAGGCAGAGGCAGGAGAATCGCTTGAACTCGGGAGGCAGAGGTTGCAGTGAGCTGAGATCAGGCCACTGCACTCCAGTCTGGTGACAGAGCGAGACTCCATCTCAAAAAAAAAAAAAAAAAAAATTCTCTTTACTTGATCCACTTCACAAAAGAATTTCCAAGTGTTGCTCCTGAGGCACAGATGAGTTAAGAATGCTGATATATGCCTGGGCGTGTGGTGGCTCACGCCTATAATCCCAGCACTTTGGAAGGCCGAGGTGTGCAGATCACGAGGTCAAGAGATCGAGACCATCCTGGCCAACATGGTGAAACCCTGTCACTAAAAATACAAAAATTAGTTGGGCGTGGTGGTGCACACCTGTAGTCCCAGCTACTTGGGGGGATAAGGCAGGAGAATCACTTGAACCTGGGAGGCAGAGGTTGCAGTGAGCCGAGATCGCACCATTGCACTCCAACCTGGCGACAGAGTGAGACTCTGTCAAAAAAAAAAACAAAAAAGAATGCTGATATATGACACATGAGTAAAGAAGGCAAGAGAGTCCAAAGAGGCGTAGGTGGTTCTCAGAAGCAACAGAGGGGGAACCTGCCCTGTTGGTGGGTAGGAGACTAGAGAACAATTAAAATCACATCTAAAGGGCAAATAGGCATCTAAAGAGGTATGACGCATTCTCACAAGGTTTTCCTTCCAGAAATCCAACAGGAATTTTCTTTTCTTTTTTTCTTTTTTCTTTTTTTTTTTTTTTTTGGGATGGGCTCTTGCTCTGTTGCCCAGGCTGGGCACAGTGGTGCGATCTTGGCTCACTGGAACCTCTGCCTCCCGGGTTCAGAGATTTTCCTGCCTCAGCCTCCCAAGTAGCTGGGATTACAGGCATGTGCCACCATGATCAGCTAATTTTTGTATTTTTAGTAAAAACGGGGTTTCACCATATTGGCCAGGCTGGTTTCGAACTCCTGACCTCATGATCCACCTGCCTGAGCCTCCCAAAATGCTGGGATTACAGGTGTGAGCCACTGTGCCCAGCCCCATCAGGAAATTTAATTCCTCATCTTGCCAAGTAAGTGGCTGGTTAGTCATCACTTCCAGCAGGAATAAAAATGACAGGGATTGTTAACAATTTCTTAAGTGAAGAAATTACAAAAAGCCCATAGCTAAATGATGTCATTTCTCAGTCTCAGCACTACTTGACTACTTCTTTCAGTTGCAACAGATAATAAAAGTATCATCATTCCTCTTTGTCGTCTGTTGTTGTTGTTGTTTTTGAGACGTAGTTTCGCTCATGTTGCCCAGGCTGGAGTGCAATGGCTGGATCTCAGCTCACCGCAACCTCCACCTCCTGGGTTCAAGTGATTCTCCTGCCTCAGACCCCTGAGTAGCTGGGATTACAGGCATGCACCACCATGCCCGGCTAATTTTGTAATTTTAGTAGAGACAGGGTTTCTCCATGTTGGTCAGGCTGGTCTCGAACTTCCGACCTCAGGTGATCCACCTGCCTTAGCCTCCCAAAGCGCTCGTATTACAGGCATGAGCCACCATGCCCGGCCTTGCTGTTTCTAAGGTAACAAAAAGTTCCTCCTACCTCATGATTCGTCAAAATACATTTTTGCTCAAACGACATTTTAGAATGACACCATAACTACAATGCTCACATAGGTATACAAAGATAATGTGAACCGCAATGCTTGGGTAGACAAAAAAATTGTAAAGATGAGGGAAAGTTATGTAATTCAGACTTGAACCAATGGTGTGTGTGTGGCCTAGTGGTTTTGGTTTATTTATTTATTTATTTATTTTTAATTAAACTTACATCGCTGAGCCTTTCCCGAGAGCTGCTCCGGTGGAAGCCCTTCGATTCTCCACTGGCACTTTCACTGTCACTGTCCCTGCAGCTGTTCTGTCCTGGCTTGAGCTAAAGGCAAAAGAAGAGAGGAAAAAGGAAAAAGTTAGTGGTCTCCTTCTTTTTTTTTTTTTTTTTTTTTTGAGACGGAGTCTCACTCTGTCGCCCAGGCTGGAGTGCAGTGGCCGGATCTCAGCTCACTGCAAGCTCCCCCTCCCCCGGGTTCACGCCATTATCCTGCCTCAGCCTCCCGAGTAGCTGGGACTACAGGCGCCCACCACCACACCCAGCTAGTTTTTTTGTATTTTTTTTAGCAGAGATTGGGTTTCACCGTGTTAGCCAGGATGGTCTCGATCTCCTGACCTCGTGATCCGCCCGTCTCGGCCTCCCAAAGTGCTGGGATTACAGGCTTGAGCCACCGCGCCCAGCAGTGGTCTCCTTCTTAGTTCGTGTTTTTGATTCTTGTCAACAGTGAAGAACCAGGCACGGTGGCTCACGCCTGTAATTGCAGCACTTCGGGAGGCTGAGGTAGGAGGATCACGAGGTCAGGAGTTTGAGACTAGCCTGACCAACATGGTGAAACCCCGTCTCTATTAAAAATGCAAAATTTAGCTGGGCGTGGTGGCATGTGCCTATAGTCCCAGCTACTCAGGAGTCTGAGGCAGGAGAATCACTTGAACCCAGGAGGCAGAGGTTGCAGTGAGCTGGGACTGCATCAGTGCACTCCAGCCTGGGCGACAGAGTGAGACTTCATCAAAAAAAAAAAAAAAAAAAAAAAAAGTGAACAATTTAAGGTTCTGATCTTTAATATTCTTCTGTTTCTGAATACTGCCAGGCAAGCTGCCATAGAAAAAACACAGGGTAGAATGAACAAAATATTCACCATGAAATGTCAATGTAGAGAAAAGAGTGGGCAAGCCTTAAATAAACATCTAAAAAGCCAAACCAAGGTCCATAAATTAGAAAGTAGTCTTTCCATCAAATTTTTTCTTCTGTTCCACTGCAATTTTTTTTCAGTAATGAAAAGACCAAAAACATTGAATAAGCTGAAGTGAGATTACACCAACTATGATTTCTTACCTTTTTTCTTCTGTCTTGTCGCAAAAAAAGAAACAAATCAGAGCAAAATAAAAGAAAGTTTTCTTCTCCTAGGAAAAAAATGATGAGATGCTGCGATGTTATCCTTCAAACAGTGGGATGACACCTAATGATCTTGTTTATTGAGATAACATCCTGGAGGCTTCTTACTGGATATTTAAAAGAACCAATGAAGACCTACAGATTAAGTAAATTAAATCAGCACTTATTCAACAAATAATGTATTAAGTGCCACATCTGGGCTAGAACTAAGTGCTGAAGATATGCTACTACACCAAAAAAACAAAACAGAAGTCCTCTCATGAAGTTTATATTCTAGTGGTTTCTACACATTTAACAAGCTCCAGTTTTCCATTAAAAATGAATAAAGACGTAAAATTGAAAACCATCAGTCTATATGAGACTGTAAGTCATAAATATATGGAGCATTGGTCTACAATATCATCACCAACCACATTTTCAGAAACACCAAGCAATGTAGTATATAGGTTACAAGTCACAGCCCCTTGACAATGTTTTCAATGTAACAAGACAAAGGCAGCACAAGACAAACAAATACAACACCACAAGGAGATACATGTTCAATGAAACCAAAAAGTAGCCAGGGAGGTTCAGAGAAGTGATTTCTGAAGCCTTGGATTTTGAAAGTAGATTAAACTCATGGCTCAGAGGACAGTGAAAGACACTCCAGTGAAGAGAAAGGCAGAAAGCAGACAGAAAAAGCAACATACTGGGAAATGATCAGCAGTCTCATTTGAAACAGAGTTCCTTTGGGGAGACAATAACAAGAAACATTAGAGATGGGTGCATGAATGAAAACATGGAAAATCTCAAACTAAACATAAGCGCCATTTTTCTAGACAGGAGGGAATTTCAAAGAATAGAACAGGCAATAAGTAGCAAACTTTTGCCTGCAGGGATTTCAAGTGGCTATGGTGCCAAGGGGAAGATGAAACCAAGATGAATAGAGAGTGAGGCTGAATCAACATTCCTTGTAGTCTTTAAAGATTACATTTCAGACCTCACTTCTGGTCATACTATTCACAGAGTCAGCTTCCCCCATGTCTTCAAAACAAGGCATTCTTTTTTGCTATCAAACTTTCCAGAAATTCACTTTTATCACATTCTTCTAAAATCCCTTTCTCCAGGAAGTCTTCTGTAAAGGAGCCCAGATAATTGATGCTAATTTTACTTTGTATCCTCCTGAGCTCTTAAGTACTTAGTTTTCTCCTCAGTTAATGCTAAACCTCCTCATTCTAAGTTAATTCAGATGCAAGTTGTATGAGGCTTTTGCTATTACTATGGAATAAAAGTTCAGAATATTGTCATTCTCTCCAATTTTTCAATTTTATACTGATAATAAAGGAGAGATTTAATCTAAAATGAACATCACCTTGTCTTCATTTCCGGAACTTTTCTTGTCCATTCCTGCTCTGTAATTTTTTTCACACGAGATTCCCTCTGTCTGGAATGTTCACCCTTACCTTCTCTGTGCTTCAAGATTTTTTTTGTTTTTTGTTTTTTGGTTTTTTTTGAGACGGAGTCTCGCTCTGTTGCCCAGGCTGGAGTGGCCGGATCTCAGCTCACTGCAAGCGCCGCCTCCCGGGTTTACGCCATTCTCCTGCCTCAGCCTCCCGACTAGCTGGGACTACAGGCGTCCGCCACCATGCCCGGCTAGGTTTTTTTTTGTTTTTTTTTTTTTAGTAGAGACGGGGTTTCACCGTATTAGCCAGGATGGTCTCGATCTCCTGACCTCGTGATCTGCCCGTCTCGGCCTCCCAAAGTGCTGGGATTACAGGCTTGAGCCACCACGCCCGGCGCTTCAAGATGTTTTTTAAGGCTCAGCTCTTACCTCCTCTGCTATGGTCTTTGAAGAGCTCTTTCTTTCTATTATTTATATTTTTAATATGCCTTCAAAATTTAGCTAGCACATCATTCTTCATTAAATGCCTTTAATAATTATGATACATTTTTCAAGCTCAAAAAGCCTATTGTTATAACACAGTTATACCGATAATAAAGTCTGCATGTGGCATGGGCCCTCCAATTCATAAGCAGTCTCAAACTCTTACCCCGCTGATTCTGAGTTAAGAAAGGGCAGGTAGAACTATCCCCAAGGTATGGATGAAAAAAGTAATTCTCAGTGCACAGTTAGATGTTTGACATTTGACATGGAAGTAATGATTCTGTAGCATATCAGTATTCTCTACACAACATGTTCTCAATTTCTTTGTGGTACTTGACTATAGTACAGTCACAAAGAAAAGAATCTTGTTAGGTGATATTTGATCAACACCTTTACGGCTGAGCACGGTGGCTCATGTCTATAATCCCAGCACTTTGGGAGGCCGAAGCAGGGGGATCCCTTGAGCCCAGGAGTTCGAGACCAGCCCAGAAAACATAGCAAGACCCCATCTCTATTTTAAAAACTAATAATAAAAACTCAGTTCCCAACTTAGATGAGAGCTACATATCCAGCTGGGAACTAAGAATATAAAGAGCGTCAAGGCTGTTACTAATATCCAACTGGCTTAACAAAACCTGGGCATTGCACCTGGGCCTTTTCCATGCTTCTTCATGAAAGGAAAATGATGACTTTACCAAGGCATAAAAACACACTTCAGTGGCCCTGACGTATATTATCTGACTAAATGTTGATCTAGGCTAAGGGCAAAACCCAAGAAGGACTGAGAGGAAGCAGCCTGCTAGCCTTCCCAGTGCCCTGCCAGCAAAAAGCACTTCAGTGAATTCTCTTCAGAGAGCCTTACATAAAATCCACTCCTTTCTCCTCCAAAGCCAGGCTCAAGTTTAAAGGAAACTTAGGATTTTAAGCTGTCAGACAGCTCAATATTTCAAAGAAATGAATTGACTACAGTAAGTACTAAAGCTAAACCACAAGATTTCAGGCAAAGAAGTATTCATTCCTAATCCCATGAATATATTTTCTTTCTTTTTTTTTTTTTTTTTTTTTCCCTGAGACAGAGTTTCACTCTTGTTGCCCAGGCTGGAGTGCAATGGTGCAATCTCGGCTCACCACAACCTCCACCTCCTGGGTTCAGGTGATTCTCCTGCCTCAGCCTCCCAAGTAGCTGGGATTACAGGCGTGTGCCACCACACCCAGCTAATTTTGTATTTTTAGTAGAGATGGGGTTTCTCCATGTTGGTCAGGTTGGTCTCGAACTCCCAACCTCAGGTGATCTGCCCACTTCAGCCTCCCAAAGTGCTGGGATTACAGGTGTGAGCCACCATGCCCAGCCAAATATATTTTCAAACTAGCATTTTAGCCACATCCAATGGACCATTTGGGGTAGCATAACTAACTCAGAAGTTGTAATCCTTCACCTGAAATTCCCAGCTATCACCTACAACCAAGAGACATCACAAAGGCCAGGTGCTGACTTAAACATTTAAAGAGCTAAGAAAAATTGATCTGCTTGCATTGATTTGTATGAGCATCCGTGACAGCTATTACAAGAAAGCTTTTCTTCTAACTGATACAGTAAGCTTTCAGTAAGATTTCTTACCATCAGCCTTTACATACTTCAGGACCTCATTTATTTAAAAATTACTATAATCTACTTTCTAATGTGAGAAGCTTCTTCCCATTAGAGTATTACATATTAAATAGTTTGGGCACCACAATGAGAAATAAATAGGCAAAATGAAAGAAAGGTGGTATGTGCCATGAGTGGCAGTAATTCTATCAATGAGATTAACATCTTTTATAAAATGTAAGAAGCTAGTTTGTTTTTCATTAGATTTCATTGTCAACAATATATGCTCCAAATTCTGAAATTGTGATCCCATTATAGTGTTAACTGTTATTAATGGCTAATTAGGAAAATAACGATCCATGGTTATATCACTGCTAATGAACATGTAACGAAGTCCCATCACCCTAGACTGCATGAAGGTAGCGCAATTCTGTGCACATCTGCTCAGCGTTTGGGAGTTGGGCTTTCCCATTCTTTTCA